GGCAAGGGCGCCGCTCACCACGGCGCACCTACCCACCCCGCGGGGGCACATCGCAGGCTCGACGAGGCCCGCCTGGCGAGCGGGCCAGGGGGGCAAGGGCGCGGCCTCCCAGACTATCAGGCGGCGGTGGACAAGGCCCACCTGGAGTGGATCCACGCGGCCAGGGCAAATTTCCATTGCATCGTGCACCACGGCTCCAAGACGATGCAGCTGCGGGGGGACCGTCCAGTTCAAGGAGGCCCCCCTTGCCTGGGGCGTGGATCACCAAGAACAATAGCGAGACCGCCCCAGGCAGAGCCCTCGCGCGGCTGGCAGGGCAGCTGCGGCAAGTCAAGGGCCTGGCCGACCAGCGCCAAGAGCGAAGAATGAACCCCGAGCTCCAGGCTCCAGGAGCTACGTTCCTGCCCCGGGCGGCGCCCTCGAGGTGCCATCGCCGGGCGCCGAGAGGGGCCTGCGCGCGCGGGCAAGTTTGGCTTCGCACGCCGCGCCCTGGACGACCGCGCAGGGCCTCTCCAGCAGGTTGAGAGCGACGTCGGCAGGTACGGGGCCACTGGCACGAGGGGCGCGACATCCTGCGCGCGTCGCCTGCGCGCCTGGAAGCCCCGTGCTGTCCAGATCGCCCCCCGCATGGTGAGGCCTCATTCCGGGGGGTGGTCGATGCCCTCACCGCTGCAGCAGCCGCCAGAGGCCCGAGCGCCTCGCTTGCCTCGGCTACGCCCGCGCCCCGTCGGGCAGCAGAAGTGGATCGACATTTTGGCGGGGCCCCCGCGCTTCCGCAGGTTCGGGGCAGCTTGGCGGGAGGGGGGATCGCGCAGCCGCGGTGGGCGAGGGCCAGCGCGCGCGCGTGATCCACGGGGCGAGCAGGAAGCCCGCCACCGACCTGAGCGTCTTTGAGAAAGACCAGCGCGCCCACCGCGGCGAAGGGCAGGACCCGCAGCGGCAGGCAGCGCAGACGCTCCAGGGCTCTTGCAACGCCAGAGGCTCGAGCGCCCAGCTCGCCCCCACTGCGCCCGCGCCCCGCTCGCTCAGCGCGGGGGCCAATCGTGCGCAGAGCGAGGTGGGCGCCACCCCGCTCTCAGACGTGAATCGCTACGCAGGCGGGGCCCCCCGCGCCCCCGACGGCGCGGAGGCAACGGGCGGAGGAGGAGATCACGCAGCCCGGGGCGTGAGCCAGCACGCGCGCATGATCCGCTATGAGAGCAGGAAGCTGGAAACCAACCTCAGCGACGAAGAGGGCGACCCCTTCGCGGGCCTCGACAACGAGCTGGACCTCCAGCAGCTTTGCGAGCAGTCGCTCCACGGACTATCGAATGCAAGTGAGAATGCGGGGGAACTAGCAGGCGGCCTGCTAGCAGGGGAACCGGCAGTCTCGGTTGCACTCCAGGTGAAAGGTGGCGGTCATCCAGGGATCGCGGCTGGGGCGACCTCGCATCCCAGAGATCACGCCCGCTACGCCGTCCCCAACGCGATCGGGCTGGTCGCCAAGGTGGCGGAGCACGCGAGCAAGCTTCTGCTTGGCGGGCAGCTGCGTGGCAGGCAAGTCGAGAGCCGGCGGGATGCGCTCGCCGACGACCACCTGCGCGGAACACCCATGTTGCACAAACGCACGAATTACCCAGGCGAGTGTGCGTCGGAGATAGTCAACGAGACAGTCGAGCACATCCAGGAACTGTCGGCGTGCCTGGTGGCCCTGCCAGCCAAGCGCCATCGCGAGTGGTCAAGGGCGCGGAGCGCTCGCCCGCCAGGAGAGCCCGATCAGGTCCTGCCCGCTCAGCGCGCGGCCGTGAATCCGGCGATCGAAGCCAGTGGTCACGAGCACCGACAGCACCTGCTCGGCGGAGAGCAAGTTCGCAAGGCATGCCGGCCCCTCAAGGCTAGGGCATGCCAGCAATGGGACATCCACCCGCGCAACATGGGCTGGGTGAGCGATTTCAAGCCGCCGACGACCTTGCTCAACATCATCACAGAAGCTGGAGCCTTCCCCGCGGACGAGCAGGATATGCTGACGGCGCGGTATATCAAGCCGACGGGAGGGCGAGGGCCCATCGGCTAGTTCAAGAGCCTGTACCGCGCGCGGGGAATATGCCACAAACCAGCCCTACAGAAATGGCAGCGCACCCTGGATGAGCGAGGCATCTTCTACACGGGCACATCGCGCAAGGTCGCAGACTGCGCCGGGCGAGCAGCGGCGCGCGGGGAGGGCGCCGCAGGCGAAGAGGGGGCCTTCCTCATCCCCTTGTGGGAGCTGGCCAATGCGTTCGAGAAACATCCTGTGCAGCTTGGGTCGCAAGGAGATGTTCCCCCTGCGTGTCCTGCGCGCGGTCATCGGGGCCCTCCGCCGGAGTCGCGCGCTCCTGCTGGACGGCATCCCGGGCGACAGTCTGCACCCTGAGAACGGGGTCGTCGCAGGATGCTTCTCCGCCACCTACGCCCCGCAGGCCCACCTGGTGAAGGGGCTGAGGGCGGAGACCACGGCGCGCCCTGAGGTCGGGATCGCAGTGTGCGCGGGTGAAATCAGCCAGGAGGTCCTTGCGAACAATGTCGGCGCGTGCGCGGACCTCATGGCGCAGGCCGCCCGCGGGCTCAAGAGCGCGCTGTGCGACGAGCTCAAGATGCAGGAGGCCGACGCCAAGGGCACCGTCCAAGGAAACAGCGGCGCAATCGCGGGTGAGGGCATGCGCAGGATGGCGGGCCTGGGCCTTCCCAAGAGAAGGATTGCAGCACCGACCAGGGAGCCTGCCCGAAAGTCCAAGCGAGCAGGCAGACACCTGAAGAGCCAGACCTTAGTCCGCCATCTTAGAGCTGATTAACGTGCGGGACGGCGACGGCACGGGAGTGCGATCAGGAACACATCCACCCAAGCCCAGCGAGGGGCAAGAGGTGGAAGGCGGCCAAGCAGCGGCTCGTCATGGCACATCGCACGGCCAAGGTCCACGCGAAGACGCGGCGCATCCTGCGCTCGGCCACCCTGTCCGCGAAGAAGTCGGGCGGCGAGGTCAGCGGCTTCGCCCTGCAGGATCTCGACGGCACGAGGCGCATCACCAAGCAAGTCTACGGGCACGGCCGCGTGTCGACGGACGCGTTCGGCGCCATCCACCCTCAGGCCGACCCTATCGGCAAGGCCGCCTTCATGCCCCTGTGCCGCTATGTGGAGGAGGCGCGGGCCGCAGACACGCGGCACCGACGTGGGAAAATGCTGCCCACCACCACCGTGCGCAGAGTCTTCGAGCAGGCCCTCCGGACAACCCTGACGGTAAGTCGGAGGCAGGGCCAGTCGGGGCGGCGCTGATGGCGAACACCGTGGCAGGGTGGTCGGTGCAGAGCGCAGCGGTCTTCGTCTCGCCGCGTTTCGGTGCGCTCTCCCATTTGAGCACGCGCCCGAGCGCATGGAGAAGCTGCGCCCGCGCGACCTGCTGGGCCGAGCCCGCGATAGCGCCGCTGACAGCGCACGACGGCGAGAAGGTCTGGACGAACATGCGCTCCCAGCCGTCTATTGTGAGGTCGTCACGGCGACGGTCGGTGGCACGCACTTCGCCCCGCTGGAGAAGTGGGTCATCGCCGCAGTCGCGGGCGGCGCCTACCTCGCGGGTCGACTGGCAGCACCGCCCGAGCTCATGTTTAACCTTCGCCTAGGGCCGCAGAAAGATGACCCCGCCTCCGTCTCGCCCCCAGCCGCCTGCGCGAGGGAATGAAAGGAGCCTCGGTCCGTTCTGCGCGCGGGCCCCGCCGCTGCCCGCTAGGCCCTGCGCGGCCTGTCCCGGGGCGCCTGGGGACATGATCGCACGGCGGTGGTTCAGCGGGGGCGGGGCGGAACTGTTCGGAAGCTCTTCGGCCCTTTCACCTCCCGGCCCCCTCCCTCCGCTCGCGCGGTCGAGCTGCAAGCCTACTGCCGAGGGGCAGATTATGCAGATGGTAGCCACCCGTGCCTCGGCGACAACGCGGCGGCGTTGGCCGCCCGTGCACGCGGGCGCGCGGGCGCCGCCAGCCCAGCGCGGAAGGATGCCGGGCATTGGCGCCGAGTGCGGCGCGGCGGCCTCGCGCGCGGCGCGGGTCTCAAGGTGAAGGCGCTCCAGGACGTCCACGCCGCCCCTCGGACGGGGGGCGAGTGGCGGGTCGTCCTGAACTTTCGGGCCGACGAGGCGGTCAAGGGGGCGCTCACCCCGTGGCCCGGGCGGGCCCGAGACGAGGCCGCCCTGGAGGATGCCTGCGCTGAGGCGCGGCGTGGCCTCTCGAACCTTGGGCGGGTGCTAGCGCGCGGGCCTGCTCCCAAGGTGGAACGGGCGCGCTTGCCCCCGCGTGCGCGGCCCCCGACGTGTGAGCGCCAGTGATTTCTGCAGCGCGATCTGCACTAGGTGGCGGACGGCCGCTCGCGGTGCGTTCAGTGCTTGCACGGCTTCTGGAGCGCGAAGGCGGGGATGGCCTCCCAGCGTGGGCGCGAGGCGCCCGAGAGCTGGAGGGGCCTGCGAGAGTTCGCAGGCCCCCATGTCTTGTGGGGTGCGGTAGTTGGCCCTAAGGGCTAGCCGCCTGAGCAGGGTGACTTCTTGTGCTGTGTGCAATGCGCGCAGTATGCCCAGCTGAGAGCTGCCCAGCGAAGCGGCTTGGTCTTGTCTTGGACAAGATGGGCAAGGGGCGGCGGAGCCGCTGCTAGCGTGGCCTCCACCCCAGAGATGGGAGGAAGGAGGTCGTCCTTGAATGCTGGGCCCTCCAGGATCTCGGGTTCCTCACTCACGGGAGAGAGATCTGTGCGTAATGCACCTCTGCAGTTGGCACGCTCAGGGGGAGCACAACTTCCTCCTCCTCCTCCTCTCCTCCTCCTCCTCCTCCTCCTCCTCCTCCTCCTCCTCCTCCTCCTCCTCCTCCTCCTCCTCCTCCTCCTCCTCCTCGTTATCCTCCCTATGGTAGCGGCGGTTGGCAGAGCGGCCCAGCCATCCCGCCCGGGACCTTGGACTGCAGTGGGGCGCCGCCGCCCCGTCGGTGTCCCGCCCCCGCGCGCGGCGGAGGTGAAGCTCCCGAGGAACGACGCCGCCGCGGCCCAGGCCGCCCTGGACTCCATCGACCAGGAGCGCGGGGACCTCTCAGGAGGGAAAGAAACACACAGACACAATGAATCGTCGATCCCCCGGAAAATATGGCGAAATATGGGAAGTAGCGGGGAAGACAAAAAGCCAGAACATATATGAAAATATGGGGCATGCTTTTGTTTGTGTGTATCTATTCGTGTGTCCTGGGGCCCCTCTCAACCTCCCGGGGACGCCCCGCGCGCGGCACCGAGGTCGGGCGTGAGGGGGGGGGGGGCGCGAGGATCCCAGGGAGTTCTCCCGAGCTGTGACTGCGCCGCTTCCCCGCCTCTGAGCCGCCTCGATGCGCCCGCTTTGAGTCGGGGGTATTTTTGGTTTATTTTTTATGTCTCGTCGAAAATCCCCCTGTAGGGGGACAGGCCCGACATAAGAAAAGATCCCCCTTTCGCCACCCAAATGAAAGTCACCGGTCGCAGCACTTCGCATCCAGACAGTTTTCGGGGGTGGACAGACCTCCTGCCCTGACACGTCGATTCAGGAATTGTCCGTTTTTGGCTCGCGGGAGGGCGTCGCGGCCGTCGTTCTTGCGGGTCCAGGTCCGTCGGTTTCGGTCCCAGGCCGTTTTCACTAAGGGGAGGTCTACTGAAGGGAGGTTTGTCCACCGCCGATTGAGATGCAGCACGCGCCGTGTTTAAAACGTCCGTGTCAATACGTTGCGTGTTGGCTCAGCGTCTTGGCCCACGTTTATTCGGCGAACGCATCGCGTCGCGTCAGACATGCGTGCTTGGTCTGCGTGTTGAGCTCCGTGCCAATGCGCTTCGTGTTGCGTGTTGCGTATCGGGGCACGTGAGGTCCGCCTGGCTCCAAGACGTGTCTTGCGACTCCCGTATCCGAGCCCCGGTGGCAGCGAGGGGAGTTTCGTCGGTCGCGCGCCCAGGCTGGGAGCCTCGCCGCCTGCCTGGGAAGCCCCCTCCCCCAGGCATCTTCGGAGGAGGCCCTCTCGGGGGGCGGGAGGGTCTCTGCGAAGCCCCGCCGCTCTCCGCGGAGGCCTAATTCGCCCCCTTCCGCCTCCCCCCCTGGCCGCGCCGAGGGTTTTCGGAGGGCGGGAGGGGCCCCACAGGGGTACAAAAGATGCACGTTTTCCCCAATCCCATCAATCGCCCACATTGCGCCCGAAAAACGACCGCTCCAATTTCTTCGGAGCCTCGGATCTCTGGGTCCCAGGCCGCTTCTGGGCTCGGTCGGTGCTGGCCGCTGTGCACGGGCCCCTCTTGGTGGCCGGGGGCGCGCGCGGATGGGCCGCGAGGCCGCCTGGAACCAGGGCGCGGGCATCAGGGTGAGCTACGCCATCTTCAACAAAGAGCCCCTCCGCCCGGCTGCCTCAGCAGCTTTGTGTGTACCGTCTCCCAGCCTTTGAGTTAGCTGGGGGTCTGGTGTGGCCCAGCACTGGCTCCTGCCAGCAGGAAGGGGGACCTGGTTCGAGGACTCGGATTCAGAAAGATTTTTTTTTTTTTTTTATCTCGGGGCGCCGTTTTCGGTCCCTGGGACCATCAAGAGCGGATCTGGTGATAACAACAGCACCAAGTGTCCAGACCTCCCGGGGTCCACGCATCGGAGAAGGTGGAGGGGTATCTGCGGGAGGAAGGCGAGAATGAGCAGTTCCAAGAGGAGCAAGAAAAGGTAAAACAAATGGCAAGAAGGGGGAAGAGGACGATCACCTTTTCTTGGACAAGGAAGTCTAGGCGAAGGAGGAGGGGGAGGAGCAGCAGGAGAAGGCAGCTGACGGCGACTGCCCGGGCGGTAGGGCCGTTGTCTTGTTGGTTTCCCTGGGTCGTCTCCCAGGCCCTGAACCGCATTTCTGGTCTGCGACCACTCGCGAAACAGGTGTTTTTTGTTCTATGGTTGCGCTCGCCCCCTCTGCTGTGGCGTGTCCTTCTCTCCGTTTTCACCCCGTGCGTGGTGACTGCAGCGCAATCAACTGGCAACGAAACGCTACCCACTGGCCTGTGTGGCAACAGGCGCCTCGGGGACGGATGCACGGCGTGATACCGACCAGCTAGCGAGTATCACAGCATCTTCGCCGCACTTGGGATGCATATCCTTGAGGTACAGCTTCCGCCGTGGCGTGTCGTTCTCTCCATGTCTCTCCCTTCCCCGCTGGGATGCCGATGTTCGCTTCTTTGCGTAAGCGGCCGTTCGGGCCGCAGGGGATCTCTGCACAGCGCCGTGGAATTTTCTCTTCCTTTGCTCCTCCTCCTGTCCATGTCTAGGCCTCCTAGATGGGGTCGGAGGATCGCGCCGCATCGCCGATGCATCGCCGATGCATCGCCGATGCAGCTCGATGCGGAGCCCGATTTGCTTCACGTCGACGTCGCCGATGCATCGCCCACGTCGACGATGCATCGCTGGTGCATCGCCGATGTATCGCCGATGCATCGCCGATGTATCGTCGATGCGGCGCGATCCTCCAACACCATCTACTCCGACCCCGTCTAGGAGGCCTCTACCATCCTCCTCCGTGAGCAGGCGACACTCGTGGACAGTGGCGATGCATCGGGCGTTGGCCACGGCATTTTCGAGAGTGGTGCACGGAGGATGGCCGCGAGTGTAACGTTTTCGGTGGCAGAGCTAGCAAACCCCGACCTTGCGGGTCCAATTGCCGCTGGGGGATCGGACACCCCCGATGGGTCTTGACCTAGCTGCAAGCAGTATCCACATTCTGAAACACAGCCGTTTTCTAAAGTCTGACCTGCAGGGCCGCCACTGGGAAGGAGGAGGAGGAGGAGGAGGAGGAGGAGGCTGCCTGTCTGGGCCGCCACTGGACTGCGACTGCTGCTCGCCCCTGTTGGCCGACAAGTGATCCTGGGCCCGACAAGTCATTCTGGGCCAGCGTGACCTCTGGTGCGCGGCTCCGGGGGCGCCAGTGGGGGCCCAACGCAACCGCGCAAGCCAGTGCTGCCGCGCGCATCAGCGGTCGGCGGGGCGCGCTCCGAGAAATCCTTCGCGCCAGCGGGCAACCGCGAAATTCCGCAGATTGGATACGAAGGCCCCGAATAGCACCTCGAAGGCGCTGCGATAGCACACGCCGCCAGGGGTCTTCACGGTGAGGTCTGGCACTGCCGGGCCGCGTCGCTATGCCGTCTGACAATGTCGGGCGTCGTGGCCAGAACGGGCCCCATCCGCTGGCCCAGAGTATTTTTGAACCTCTTTCGAAACTTTACAGAGGTAGAGATCCCCATTGGATCGGACAGGCATTCCATATTGAAAGACATTCGAAGATGTTTAAACCGCGAGATTTGGGATTTGGGGGGCTTGGGTTCGGGACGGGTCCTGCGGCGGAAAACACGCCACCAGGTCGACCGGCCCTCGCTCGGGAAACGAATGCGCCTTTTCGGGTTCGTCTCGTATGCGTTGCGGTCGATTGCAAGGGGGGGGCAAACCAGTCGCGCTCAGATGCGAGCGCAACCGCACGCTACGGGTGCCGACGCGAGGTCGAGCTTGTCCCGGAAGAAATCACCAGGCCACCTTGGGGCCAGCACCAAAGGTCAAAGGTCGCCCTTGCGAAGGGTCTCAGCCACGCGCAGAAGGGGGTGGGGGGAGGGGGGGGGGCTTCTTAGAAGCACCCCTGCTTCTTAGAAGGCGCGGCCCTTGTCTATAGATGTAAGGCCGGCGCCTTCTAAGAAGCAGCCTCCTTCTAAGAAGCCCTCCCCCCTCCCCCCACCCCCCTTGTGCGCGCCGCCAAGGGTCACAAGTGTAGTCGAAAGTTGTGCACGAGCACCGCGGGGGGGGAACTCTCTTGCCTGCGCGGCTGGAATCAAGGGGCCAGAGCGGCGTGCACGGAGCGGGCGGGAGAAGGGAAGGAGGGGGAACGGATGAGGTAAGAGGAGAATGACGATGGGGAGGAGGGGGAGGAGGAGAACGAGGACGAGGAGGAGGAGGACGAGGAGGAGGACGAGGAGGAGGAGAAGGAAGAGGAGAGGGAGGAGGAGACGGAGCTCGTTCCCAGTGGGCGCAGGCTACAGAGGGTACTCGCCAGCGAGCTCGAGGTGGAGTTCAGGCCCAGCGGAACGGTCATCCCAGTTCAAAAGACAAGGCATGCCGGGGAGTTCAGAAGAATTCGTGTTACTAAGGCTGTTTGTGCGTTTCACCTTCGCTCCTTCTCGCCATCCGTGAGGGCAGCACATGTGGAGGCAGGGAAGCAGGTTACGGCCGTCCGAGACACTGACTCCGCCTCCCTGGTTCGGCACACCCTTCATGACGGCTGCCGGCCTTCTGGATCGGCTGCCAGATGGTAAACTAGATACGTCTGGCCACGTTGTTGTTGCTGTTGCTATTGTTGTTGTTGCTGCTGCTGCTGCTGTTTTTGTTGTTGTTGTTGTTGTTGCTGTTGTTGTTGGTGGAGGTGGTGGTGTTGCTGTTGTTGTTGTTGTCGTCGTTGTTATGGTTGTGGTTGTGATTGTGATTGTTGTCGTCGTTGTTGCTGTTGCTGCTGTTGAATTCTCAATTCTGAAGAATAATTACTGTTGATCCCCCCCGCCCGGTGCACATTGTATTTGTTCTATCGAAGTGCCCCTCCCGGGGCTCGCACCCTGATTTTTGAATCAGGGACCGTCTTGAAGCTCAAATTGTGTTGTTGGCCCCCGGCTTACAACAACAACGGCTCCCGCCTGATGCTTCCGCACAATTTATTCCAGAATCGCGCTCCCTCCCGAGATTTCCTCTCGTTTTACTCAGGAATCGCGCTCTCGCTGGGGACTTCCTTACAATTTATTCAGGAATCGCTCTCTCGGCTCTCTGGAGTCGCGCTCTCGCTGTCAATTTACTTGAATAGCACCCTTGCGTTGGAATTTTACACAATTTACTCAAGCGCCGCGTTCCCGACACTCAGGCACCCAGGAGTCGCGCTCACGCTTAGGATTCCCTCACAGATTCTTTAGGAATCGGGATCTCGCTGCCCTTCGTGGCCCCGTTGCATCCCTTCGTGGCCTCCTCGCTGCCCTTCGTGGACCCGTTGCAGCCCTCGTGGCCCCCTCGCTTTGTTTCGTGGCCCCGTTGCAGCCCTTCGTGGCCCCCTCGCGCCCTTCTGGCCCCCCTGCTGCCCGTCGTGGCCCCGTTGCAGCCCTTCGTGGCCCCCTCGCTGCCCTTCGTGGACCCGGGGCATCCCTTCGTGGCCCCGTTGCAGCCCTTCGTGGCCCCGTTGCAGCCCTTCCTGGCCCCCTCGCTTTGTTTCGTGGCCCCGTTGCAGCCCTTCGTGGCCCCCTCGCTGCCCCTCGTGACCCCGTTGCAGCCCTTCGTGGCCCCTCGCTGCCCTTCGTTGCCCTGTTGCAGCCCTTCGTGGCCCCCTCGCTGCCCTTCGTGGCCCCGTTGCAGCCCTTCGCGCCCCCCTCGCTGCCCCTGGTGGCCCCGTTGCAGCCCTTCGTGTCCCCGATGCTACCCTCAGTGGCCCCGTTGCAGCCCTTCGTGGCCCCCTAGCTTTGTTTCGTTGCCCCGGGGCAGCCCTTCGTGGCCCCCTCGCTGCCCCTGGTGGCCCCGTTGCAGCCCTTCGTGGCCCCCTCGCTGCCCTTCGTGGACCTGGGGCAGCCTTTCGTGGCCCCCTCGCTGCCCCTTAGTAGCCCCGTTGCAGCCCTTCGTGGCCCCCTCGCTGCCCTTCGTGACCCAGTTGCAGCCCCTCGTGGCCCCCTCGCTGGCCTTCGTGGCCCCGGGGCAGCCCTTCGTGGTCCCCTCGCTGCCCTTCGTGGCCCCTTTGCAGCCCTGCGTGGCCCCCTCGCTGCCCCTCGTGGCCCTATAAATGCATGCCCTTCGTGGCCCCCGCTCGTTCGCGCCCGTCGTGACCCCATATGCATGCCCTTCGTGGCCCCGCTGTCGCCCTTCGTGGCCCCGTTGCAGCCCTTCGTGGCCCCGATGCTGCCCTCAGTGGCCTCGTCCTTGCCCTCCGCGGCCCCATATACGTATGCCCTTCGTGGCCACCGCTCGTTCGCGCCCGTCGTGGCCCCATGTGCATGCCCTTCGTGGCCCCGCTGTCGCCCTTTGCGGCCCTCTCGCTGTCCCACGTGGCCCAGTTGTTACCCTTAGTGGCCCCGTCGTTGCCTTCTGTGGCCCCGCATTATCTGCCCTTCATGGCCCCCTCTCGTTCGCGCCACTTCGTGCCCTTCGTGGCATTGCTGTCGTTCTCTCTCTCGCTCTCGCTTTCGCTCATCGTCGTCGTCATCGTCGTCGTCGTCGTCGTCGTGGTCGGTCCCTTGTCCGTCCCTCTTCGGGTCGGGCACCGCCGATCAGCGCTGCCGGTGGCCAGGCCGACGGTCCGCGGCCGCCCCGCCGCTTGCCGGTGCCCGGCCTGCAGGGAAGAAAGGTATACCCCCCAAAAGGAATACGAACGAAGACGAAGAGGCCAGGTATCGATGGTTTGGGAAATACGCGTTAACGGACACTCGAGCCGATATAAGCGAACAGTCTTAAATTGATTGTTGGTGGTGGTGTTGGTGTTGTTGTCGTTGTTGTTGTGGTTGTTGTTATTGTTGTTCCAAGAGCTGCGTGGCCGCGCCTCTCCGCGGCCGCGCTCGGGGAAGCAGCGTGGCATTGATGTCAAGCATGTAGCTTGACACAGCGTGCCGCTGCGTGGCTTTTGCGTTGCATGTTTACTGCGAGTGTGGCACCATTACACGCGCTGGTGTGCGTGTGTGAGCCCCCCGCCCCCGGCGCCCCCCCCCGCCGCCGCCTGGCTTCGCTCTGAGCGGCTTCCCCCCCCTCTCTCCTGCCTTCGCTGGGCGTTTCTTCTTTCTCCCCCGTGCATCGCGGCCGAATTCGTATTCGCACGCTGTGTTCATTCTCTTCCGCCTGCGCAGTCAGTCTGCCTGGCCGCCGGCGCAAAAGCTCATGTATTCCTTCCTCTCCCTCCCTCCCCTTTACTCCTATGCTACTCATCGTCCTGCTTTGACTTGTCCTTTTATCGTCATCCACCTCCGCCGTCTTCCTCATGGCTCTCGCCTTTGTTGTCCTCGTATTTATCCTTATCCTGCATCCTCTCTCCTCCTCCTCTTCCTCCTCCTCCTCCCTGTCCTAATATAGTTGATCCCCCTCTCACCGTTCTCACCCAGAAATGTGAGGTAGTTAGAGGCACCCCTGACCCGTCGACCCGCCTGCTCACGTGTCCTCTCCAAATCTGTGTTTGCCCATGCCGGTTGTGCGGTGATTGGCGACGTGTTGTGCTTTTTTGCGCAGTCGCTTTGGGTTCGGCGAACAGTTCGTGGCCTTGACATTGTTGTGGGGCGGTGCGGGCAAGGGGGACTACGCTCGTCAATATGGTTGTTGCCACTCTAACTTGCAGGTAGATTTTGAAACGGCCATGGGAGCTTCCTTTGATCCGCCTGCTAGGAGGCGGTTGTTCGGAAATAGCAGAAGCACCCGCGGAAGAAGTGGAATACTCAGTTTCAGTATGAACGCGATTGGGAGAGAGTCGTTATCGCAATTGAATGTTGTCCGTGTTGTTGTGCGCAGTTTTTACCATCCCGACTCTTTTCACCAAAAAGAAGATGAAAAAGGAGATGCGATGGATGAGGGGTCGAGCCAAGGACAACTAGCTCGATAGAGAGGGAGAACGCAGAAAGAGAGAGAGAGAGAGAGAGATACGCAAGACCATGCAGTGTAGAACAAGAGAGAGAGAGAGAGAGACAAAAAAAAGTCGCCAGAGACTGCTGCATGGGTTGCTGCCTGATCATTGATGCTTCCAGGATATTCCTGTGGATGCCCATCAACGACATAATGTCTTGGCTGTACCCGTTCATTCTCTGCGTCGCGTTCGTAGGCCTGGGTGGGCAGAACAGTGGGACCCACTGGTCATGGCAACGAGGGATGGACACGCTTGCGTACGAGCCAACAGAGACCGCAGAGACAGACCACATGGAATGAGGCGCACCTGACGGTGCACGCTCTCTTCCGCAGTTTTACAACCCTGGGACCCTGGGACCCTCCCCCCCCCCGAAACGGGACCCCCCCCCGGATCCCTGGCCCCGGGAGCCCCCCTGGACGCCCGTGCAGAAGCTCCCCCAGGCTCCTCCTCCTCCTCCTCCTCCTCCCCTCCTCCTCCTCCTCCTCCTCCTCCTCCTCCTCCTCCTCTCCTCCTCCCTTCTGGGAGCTCCCGAACGACGGTGCTGGGCCCAGGCAGCGGGCGGGCCCAAATCGGTCGGGAGGGCGGCCGAACGGCCCCCCGAGGGCTCCAAAAGGCCCCGAACACCCACCACACGTCCGAAGACGGCCCAAGGAGCACCCACAAGAGGCTTAGAGGGAGGATGAGGAGAAGGAGGAGGAGGAGAAGGAGGAGGAGGAGGAGGAGGAGGAGGAGGAGGAGGAGGAGGAGGAGGAGGGGGGGCTCCAAAAGGCCCCGAACACCCACCACACGTCCGAAGACGACCCAAAGAGCACCCACAAGAGGCTTCCGGCATGCAGAACAAAAGCATTGGCCCTCAATGGCTTTGGCATGATGTTGGGAATGCTCAGTTCTTCGGCCTCCCGGGCGTCCGGGACCGCCCAACAGGCGCGAAAATCACACGAAAACTATCCGAAATAACCCAGGCGACGCCCAACAGAGCTTCCAGACAGCCCAGGAGACGCCCAAAATAGCCCAACAGGGCCCCAAGAGGGCCCGAAGAGAGCCCCATGACGGCCCAAGATGGTTCAAAGACGCCCCCCGAAGCATTCCAAATCGTGACCCGGTCGTTCAGGGAGGCCGCAGTTGGAAGCAGGGTGGCCCGAGGAATTCCCCTGAAGGCGCCCAGGAAGCCTCCAGGAGGCCCCACGAAGCCTTGTAAGTCGTTCGTGAGGCCCCCGAGAAGCTCTCCAAGGAGGAGCTTCCGCAAAAAGAGCAGAGGAGGATGGGGGAGAGTTCGCAGGGGAGGGCGGGAATGAGGAAGAGGAAGAGGAAGCATGAGGGAAGGATGACGAATGGCATTAATATGATGACGATGGCGGATCAGACAACGAGGAGTTATCGCTATTGCTTCTGCGTTATTGTCTTGCCCTTCCGCCTGCATGTCAAACTCCCGGGACCAAGGTGCATGGCGCGACGTGCCCATGCAGTCGTGTATATATATATGAGGAACGGACAGAGATAGGTAGAGAGAGAGAGAGAGAGAAAGTGCGACATATATACATATATATAGGGATAAAAAGAGAGGGGGGGAGGGAAAGAGAAGAGAGAGAGAGAGAGGGAGAGATAGCCAGATAGAGAGAGGGGAGGAGAGAGAGAGAGAGAAATCTCTCTCTCTCTATATATATATCTCTCTCTATATATATAGCGGTAACGGTGTATGTGTACATTTGTATACACATGTGTGTACATTTGTTTACAGGGTGAGATAAAGAGAGAGTCAAACAGACAGACACACAGACAGAGACAGAGAGAGGGAGAGTCAGAGAAAGAAAGAGACACACACACACACAAACAGAGAGAGCTCTGATTCCTTTCGGTGCATTTGTGTGCCGCTCCTCTCCTCCCCTCTTGCTCGCTTCCCCATGTTTTGGTGCTTGGCGCCGCTTCGATGTCAGGATGCAGTCGTATCGGTATGCCCTGGTCTGTGATGATAACTTGGTGAGTTTGGCAGCCAGTGCTGGCAACCACGCTGCTCTCTGACCCTCCTGCTGCCCATTCCCCTCCTGCTTTTCATTTCCAGCTGTGTCTTCGCACATGTAGTTTCAATGCGATTCGATTCAGGATGCCAGTTGGTGTGTGGGATCTCGCCCTGTAGGGCTGCATTTCGTGGACAACGAAAGCGACGATCCACTTGGATAAGAAATTGCGTTGGTTGTCTACCTAATGTTCTCCTGGGTCACAGCTCATCTAACACTTCTGCATTAGAGATTGAGCATCGTCTCAATTGTCTTGATATTCTACCGTGCTGGGCGTGAGCGATGTACACGTGCTGCCGCAGCTTCCTGGTTTAAGTTTGCATGTTGTGTCGTTTGAGTGAAAATAAACGTAGCCCTATACATGATGTGTACACATACAAACGTATACATGCTAACGGATGTTTGCGTGTACATATCGATTCCGCTACTTGAATGTACGTGTGAATGCAATATCCTGCGTCTGTCTCTACGTAGTCGTCCCCATGCATTGTGATATCCATCCAACACGTTACACCTACTGATGCCCTTCCTCTGTTTGACTCGTCCAGTCCACTGTAACTGCGCCGTGGTTTCGAACGGTGATATAGCTCTTATGTTTCAGCCAGCCCTCACAGCTCGTCTGACTCGTCTGGCCCGCTTCAAAATTCTACCTTGCTGGGTCGCCCCAGCCAAATCCACTCTTCCGACTCCCTCCAACGGTTCCAGCTTCCGTACCTCTTCCATTCTTTTAGCCGCCCCATCTGTTCTGACTCTTCTCGCTGCTGGGCGCCCACGGCGGGCACATGCGACGACCACGGGAACCCCCGGGACAGCCCGGGAAGCCAGCGGCGGCCACCGGATGGCAGCAGTACGGCAAGAGCTGCATTCTGCCAGGGTCGGATCTCCCCATGGCGGTGGGCCTCTGGCAGTTCTCGGCCCTCCACACGCCCCCAAAAGGACCCCGGGACCGTCACACAGCGACCAGGGACGAAGAAACCCAGTGTTTGTTTGTAAAAAAAATCAAAAAACAAGGTCGTGAATTCAAAAGCCTGGTTTCTTTGAACTCAAAAGCTGGGTTTTTGAGTCCACGTCCCAGGGACGCGACCCATACCTCTGGGAGCCCACGCTGCGAGCGGACAGCGGCGTCGAAGCTCCGGGCCCCCCGCCCTCGTGCAGCACCGCTTCGCCTCGCGCGCGCGAGGAGGACCGACACCGACAGCGAAACCGACTTCCACGGGGGGGGGGGGGGGCATTCCGTGTTCCTTCGGTCGCGCCCCCATATGTATGTTTATATAGATATACACATGTATGTACACATACATATATATATATATATACACATATATGTATACATATTTATACATAATATATATATATATATATATATATTATGTATATATATAATATATATATATGAGTAGGCTGGGGGGAGGCGGTGGGGGGGGGGGGGGGGGCAAAATCGGTGCCGTCATCCCCCATGGCCGCCCCCCCGAACTTTTGGGGGGTCACAGACCCCCCGGGACTGACCCGGGCCGCTTCCAAATTGCCCACGACAGGCCACGCGGGCCGTACAGGTGGTCAAGAAAGCCTGAAGAGGCCCCGGAGACGCCCAAGAGCGCCCCAAGAGGGCCCGAGATGGTTTGAAGATGGCCTTCAAGAGGCAAAAATCGGCCCATTCCCCACGTAAAACGTACATGTTCGGCATACTTGCTGGCTTCGTTGTCGCAGTGCCCCAGACGCCCCCGCGGAGCCCCAACACAGCCCAAGAGAGACCCAAGAGTGCCCCAGACGGCCCAAAAGGGTCGTCCTGTGGGGCTCACGGAACCTTCCAAGACGGCTCCCCCCCTCGCGCGGACTTCAACAATACTCAATAGGAAGTAGAACGCAGGACTATGACCGGGAAGACTTGAAACTGGTCTTTCCTACTTCCGCTCCGCCGTTCTCCTCCTCCTCGTCCTCCTCGTCCTCCTCCTCTTCCCTACTTTCTCTCCTCCCTCCTCCTCGCTCCCCGTCCTCCTCCTCCTCCTCCTCCTCCTCCTCCTCCTCCTCGTGCTCCTTCTCGTCCTCCTCCTCTTCCCTACTTCCTCTCCTCCCTCCTCCTCCCTCCTTCTCCTCCTTCTCCTCCTCCTCCTCCTCCTCCTCCTCCTCCTCCTCCTCCTCCTCCTCCCCCTCCGCCGCCTCCTAGCAAGCCTCAGCCGCGGAGCCTGGTGGCCCCTCACCACGTGGGGGGGCCAGGGGATCTTTGACGTCAGTTGGAGCGCCATTTTATTGACTTGCCCATTACTTTCTGTCTTCCGCTTCCTCCTCATCATCCTCATCATCATCATCGTCTTCAGCATCATCATCACCATCGTCATCATCATCATCAGCAGCAGCAGCATCATAATCGTCATCATCATTGGGGAGGCTCGTAGGGGATGACGACGTCATAAAGTGGAGCATTGAAGAAAGTAGCTTGGCAGCTCAAGCTTTCCCGGTCTTGCGTCAAGCTTCATTCAATTTCCGTTCGACCCGCACAGGGTATTCCATCATCAACGTGGGCGTCGAGATCTACCAGATGACCTCCGATTGGAAAGCATACGTCAGCAACCGCGCAGAGATGTTCGACATCTTGCGGGACTGCTCTTATCGAGCATTGATGTTTGAGTGTGGTTCAACACATCCCAAATTTTGCCACACTAGGAAGAAGTTCGAGAGGCAACATCCTTTCGCGCACACTGCTTTCATGCTTCACAGCAGAATACCTTTCTTCTTACCTAATTCTAGCAGCGCAGCATTGCATTCGCAGTTGGTCTGATGGGGAAATATTCAACTTGAAAGTACATTGGCATGCAGCCAAACCTGTAACGTGGAATCGTGCCAGGAACACGTCTTGAACATGATACGTCGATTGCGGGTCGTGGAGTATTGGTCTTGACATGTGTTGTGATGTTTGGTGCCATGTTCGCCAGGTGTGAGTGTATTAGCTGGGCACTTCTGCAAGGCGTGGGGACATTCGTGTGTCTGGTTAGTTCGAGCTGGGGCTGGATCGAAGATGGCATTTGCTTTCTGGTTGGTTTATCTGTTTCCAGCGCGTGCGGCCGGTGGGTACTTGTGCGCCCGCAGGCATGTCCCATCCCCAGCCGCACCCACACCCGCCTAGATTCCATGCAGCCTCCCCTTCTCCCCATTCCCTTCGATCCGATGTGACCCCTTCCGCGCATTCCACCTAGCGCAGTGCCTCACAAGAACATCCTCAGGAGCAGGGACCTAACAGCAGCTCCTCTTGAGAACACAGACGCGCTCACACAAACATACACACGCACTCACGCACACGGCTACACAAACGCACACACACACACACGTGCACGTACCTACGTACACGCGTACGCAGACATTGTTTGCACAGGAACGGTTTGTTTTGAGATGCGCGCTCTGGACGGTCGCGGGTGCGTTGATACTGGGAAGATGCAGGTCGGACGTAATGAAACTTGAGTGGCAGCGTTGGCAGCGCTGATTGTTGTTTGCGCCCTGGGGTCGCGCGACAATTTGGGAGTGGGTGGGCGGTTGGGCATGCGAGGAATTCAGGATGCTGCGAGTGGGCCCAGTGCCAACTTTGATCCACCATGCTGCCAGCTTGTAGCTAACATGGATAAGATTGCGCTTCAGGATTTCATCCACGTTCTAATCATCGCTCTGATGATCACCGTGACCGTGAAGCAAGCCAGTCTTGACCTGCAACCTGCTTCAGACAACGTGTATGTGGACACGACAGATGAGAATAATCTCATAGACATTGCGTACTACTCCATCCACTTACAGAAGCTCTTCGGTTTCACATTCTTCCTACAGACCTTCAACTTGATCAGAATTCTCCGGTTGTTCCCCGAGCTGGGTCCACAGATGCAAGCCATCGGACAGACGCTGGTCGACGGGAAGGTCCTAAACTTTCGGCTTGCGCATCGAATCGACTTATCTTTCCTCTTAGCATGTGTGGTGTTCTTTCTCTCTGGCGTCCGTTTACTTTACTACTGCCCGCCACTTGTTCAGCGCTCACGGTGCTTTCCAATGCTCGTGGCTCGCGGTTGATTGCTCCTCATTGGCGCAATCATGCGTCGAAATCCCATCGCGTATGGAGTGGTGGGCGGGTGAAGTAAGGGGAAGTTCTTCTCGCCAGCCGCTGCTGGCGTTCCTCGGGGACTCTGGCCGAACCGCACACACTGAGGGTGTCGACATGGATCTTGAACCATTCGCTTTGCTGCCAGCTGCACGCAGCTTGGAAGCATGACCCTCTACTCTCTTCTCTCCTCCCCCTCCCTCAGTGCACGCGGCATTCAAGGCCATGCATGTGTTGCGGTCAGTGTGGGCGTCCTGCTTGCACTCCGTGGGTTGTGGTGTTCCGGGTGTGCCGTTGGATGCTATCACACGCTTCGTTGTGCTTGTGGGCCAGCGGGCACCTCGGCCGTCCACGACAGTTAGCAGGAGTAGCGTAGCAGAGACAGTGTCAGAGCAATGTCCAGTCGTCGTACCCGTTTACTCATTTGGCAGGCGCACATCGGGGCTAGAGTTTGCATGTTCTAGGTGTGCCTGATATCACTCTGCTCTTTCAGGTGTAGGCCACCCTGCACATTTGGGGGCGTATGGCCGCTAGTTACTGTGATGCCTTGTCTTTGCTAGTCTCCAAGTGATCTTTGCCAGTTGGCGTAACCGTTTTGCGCATTTGAAGGTGATGCAGTTCTTCGCTTTCCTTTTCTTCTGCATCGTCGGGTGCGCGCTGACTGTCAACACCGTGTTCGGCGCCGAGCAGAAGGGGTTCGCGACTCTTCAAGACTCCCTGTTCGCCATGTACCGCTTCGTTTGGGGTGCCCTGCTCGGGGAGTCCAAGTCGGCACCCTGGTCTCTGGAAGGGACTCTTCTCCAAGGGGGGCCGCGGTCTGTACTCGTCCCCTCAGCGGCCCACTCGGCAGTTGTGGAGCTGGCGCCGTGCACGGTGGAGATTTTTCACATGTGTGTATCTGTGTGTAAGTGTGTGTGTGTGTGTTTGTGTGTGTGCCTTGGGTCGCCCGCGGGGTTCGTCGCTCTGGCCGCGTGGCATCAAAGAGTTCAAGTATATGTGTGTGTTCCTGCTGTGCACCTTTCCACTCTCCCCCTCCGGCTGCCTTTCTTCGCCTCTTCGTCGCTCCTGCACCGGTGGACCTATCTTGCCTTGTGTCTCGTCCTCGCCGGTCCTGCTGGTGGCACTTCGCCTCGCCCTGCCCGTCAACGTACTGTCGCCACTGGCCTCTTGGCACCATCCTCTTGTCTCCCGCCCTCGCAGCCCGTGCCAGGGTGTGCGCATGGCAGGGTTGGTTCCCTCGCGTGCGTCCCTGCCCCGCCTTCTGAGGGTCCCGCCGCGCGCGTCTTCCGCCTGTCGCCCTCGGACTTTCAACGCCTAGACGCTTCGCGCGAGGCCCCGGCACCGAAAGCTCTGTGTGTGTTCAGGATGATTAGAGCTGTGCGTAGCCCGCCTAGCTTTCAGCGCAAGAGGTTCGCTCTCGCCCCGCCGACCAAAAAGTGTGTGTGTGTGTGTGTTCAGGATGAGTTCGGCAAGTGCATCGTGTAGCCGTGCTGGCGTTCGTTGGAGGAGATTGGCTTGTGTCGTTTCGGCCTGTCTCGGCTTCTTTTGGAGCGCTTGGGGGCTTATCGTTCGTTCCGTGGTCTGTCTGAGGAGCGATTTGCAGCCTCCAGGCTCGTGACGTGATGCGCGGGCTCGTCTGCCTTTCATGTCTCGCAACTGTTGAGTGGGACTGGGCCGATCATGTTTTCGAGTCTACGTTGGCTTAGCTTCAAGGGATTCAGTACTCAGTCTGCCTTATCTACACTGCCAGATAGGATTGCTGTACAACACGTAGTTTTCTGCGCCACCTGGGGCCAAAGGGACTGGCACCACCGTGGCACGTTTGTTTTGTGTGTGAAAGGTCTCTCGCTTGATTCTCCGATTTCTTACCAGAGTTTCCGTTGGGCTGGATCAGTTAAGAAGGCCGTTCATATTCATACGTGATTGCGGAGGTCGGCGGGTCTGATTGTCCGTTTTTGCTTTGGTAATACAAACTTTCAATGTATCACGTGTGCTCCAAGGCGTCAGGGCATTCGTCATTGTCGTACATGTTGCGTGGTCGTCAATGAACGCGGCTGCCGTTAGAAAAGTACTCGATGATCAGGTAGTGGAAGGTTCGAGCGGCGTTGCTGGATAGGAAATCGTGGTGCTATATGTTCAATGCAGGTGCTGTCAGCACTTGTGTCCTTCAGGTGATTGGGATTTCGCGGAGATTCAGTCGAAAGAGTACGTGACGACATCAACGTCGATCTGGGGCTACCTCATCTTCTGGATTTTGACGTTTGTGATCACTGGAACGTTGATGGCTTAGCTCTGGCCGAGACCAATCGAGCAAGGGCGTGACGAAGAGAGATGAAGACAGCAAATAGGGGGACAAAGGGCAGAGATATTCAGAGACACGTAATATGTATACCTATATCTATCGAAATGGAGGGTGAGAGGGAGACAGAAAGAGAGAGAGAGAGAGAGAGAACGAGAGAGCTGGAGAGAGCTGGGACAACATGGAAGGTGAAGTAGAGAGCAATCGGGAAAGAGGGGTACGTAGGGTATTGTGCTAGAGGGAGAGACAGAGAGAGAGGGAGGGAGAGGGAGAGGGAGAGAGAGAGAGAGAGAGAGGAAGAGAAAGGGATGAAGGTGAAGACAGGGGTGGGAGTCAATATATATATATATATAGAGAGAGAGAGAGAGAGAGAAAGAAAGAGAGGGAGAGAGAGAGAGAGAGGCGCAGAGACAGGGTGCAAACATAATGCGGTAGTTGAGACATCTCCTGCGCATAGGCAGCATGTTTCCTTCGCGCACGCACACGTACTCGTTTGAATACAAGTGCACGCCGTCTTACGCACACTCAAATCCTCATTTGTATTTGCGCTGGTGCGCTCCTGTCCACGTGTACGCAGTCGCATGAACACACACACACACGACCGCCAACCCCAGCCAGGAACTGGACGGAAGGAACACCAGAGCGCAACGGTGCCTAGACGGAGCGCGTCGTTGCTGGTACCCGCGGCCCACGTCCCCACAGGTTCCTTTTGGATCCGATCGATCCGATTCTATCTGGATGTTGACCGGCCCGATCCGATGAGGCTTCGATGTTTCGACGATCCGACGTGGTCTGATGTGCGCGCGGCACTGTTGTCCATGTCAGCGGGGCCGATCCGATTTGTGTTCGGCTCCGTGCCGCTGCAGCCCGATCCGACGCACACTTCGATCCGATCCGATTTCCCAATCCGGAGCTGACTGGTCCTGCCCCGACGACTTGCGCCCCCTCCCGGGGGAACGATCTCAGAGGGCCTCCGCAGCCGGCAGCTGGTGGACGTGGGTGCGTTTGGCCCCCCCCACCCCCACCCTTCAGGGCCGAGCCTTCAGTGGCGTCCCAACCGATCCCTGGCAAGCCTGACGTCCCCTTCGCCGTTTGCTCGGGGTCGGTCAGGCCGCGTAATTACAGAAACATTCCTTTCCGTGTCTGCGTTGTTCCGTAGCCATTTTGGTTCAAGATACTTTGTTCCACAGGGGAACACGTGGATACCCCTAGTCCGCGGCAGTCTTTCATGAGTGCGGCCTGTCAGCCCAAGTCAGGACCGCCTGCTCAGAGCAGGCCTCGCCCGACGGCGTGGACAAGGACGCGACGGTCCTTCTGGGCCCCCGCAAGCCTGTGTGGGCATGCTCATGCGGGAGGGCGGCCAAGTGTGCAGCAGAGTACAGTGCGTGTGTGGGAAAGCGGCGCCGCAGAGAGTGGTCAAGGCGGCGCGCATTGCCCATGCAGCAATTATCAAAGACAAAGGAAATGGGCGAGTCAGCAAAGGAAAGGGCAAGGGCACGGAGGCGTCCGCAGTTGCCAAATTGTCCGCCAAGGTTAACAAGCTCATTGCAGCAATGGGGAAGGACTCGAGCTGGCCTCGGCTTGGGGGCGGTGCGGGAGGAGGTGGGCCGCGAGAGTGGCCTGCAGCTGCCCCACCACGGTTTCAGGCAGAGGCGCGAGCTGGAGCAGATGGCATGGACATCGATGGCGAAGGCCAACAGGATACCGTGTCAAATGCGAAGAAGTTCGCACATATTGCAGAGAGGATTGACAAGTTGCACAAGTCTCTATCCAACCTCGGTGATGGCCCGTCAATGGCTGAGCCGCGGATGCTACTGCAGCAGAGTCTGGACGAGGCGAGGAATGAGCGCAAGGGGGTGTTGCCGCCGCATACAGTGCACATGCGAGCGCAGCAGGCGCTGGAGAAGGCCAAGAAGCAGTATCGCAAGATGCAGGAGGAGACGGAGGAGAAGCAGCGCCAGGTTGATGCGATGCTGGCATCGCTGGCAGCACGACGTGAGGCCATTGAAACCAAACGGCTGGAGGTGGAGGCGCTCAACGTGGAGTTCACGCGGAGTGCCGAGGCAGTGGTGCCGCCCCAGGCGGCAACCGCTGCACCCGAAGCCGCAGGTGGTGGAGTCAAGCTTGAGTTTGATGAGCCCGAGCTCGACCCTGATCTGCGAGAGTTTGTCAAGAGACACTTGGGCCAAGCTACGGGGGCACATCACGAGCAAGATGTCCTCCAAAGCTCCTGCTGCTGCTGCTGCTGCTGCTGCTGCTGCAGGGGCCCCTGATAATGATGGCAATGGTACCAATGGGAATGGAGCCACTGACGATGATGGGTATCGACTCGCTGAGAGCCAGAAACGTTCGTTGTTCCAGGGGGCCGGGAATGTGGATGAGTTCCTGGGGGCCTTCAAGAGACTCGAGGGACAACCGCGCAATAAGCGACGGCAGGGGTGACGTCAGCGAGGATATCCCGATCGACGGCCTCGGCAGCGACAATGGCGCGCCATTCGGGGGGGGGGGCGGGGCGACCCGAAGCGCCCATGCGGGTGCGTAGCCTTCGTGCATCGGAGCGCGGGATCCCCCCCTGGAGCTGTTCGGCCAGGGCGGCGGGCGTCACTGGCGGCACCCGCAGCGAGGGTAGCATGATCAACGGTTTTGGCAACGACGGTGACGTGCCATTCGGGGGGCGCCGGCCCGAAGCGCCCATACGGGTGGCTCGTAGCTTCAATGCGTCGGAGCGTGGGATCCCCCCCGTGGAGTTGTTCGGCCAGGACGGCGCGCGTCACTGGCGGCGCCACCAGCGAGGATCGCATGATCGACGGTCTCGGCAACGATGATGACATGCCATTAGAGGGGAACCGACCCGAAGCGCCCATACGGGTGGCTCGTAGCCTTAATGCGTCGGAGCGTGGGAATCCCCCCTGGGGCTGTTCGGCCAGGATGGCGGTTGGCGATGGCAATCCTTAGATACGTGTTCGGGTCTGTGGGCTGGCTGAGCGAGGGCGCGCTCGGCCTTTAGGCGCGACGCATTCTGCGCAGGAGGTTCTGCGATCGACGGAGACCTCCAACGCGAGCTGAGGCAAGCCCACCCTCAAGAGCCGCCTGCAGGAGACGAGGGCGGATGTCCTACTGGCCCAGGAAGTCGGTCATCTGCCAGAACAGCTTGAGGCACTCACGTCATGGGCCCGAGGGAGAGGCTGGCGAATGATGGCGTTACCCAGTTACCCCACGGCAGGAATGCTTCCCGGTGCAGGAGTGGCGGTTTTGGTGCGAGATGGGCATTGGCTACGACCGCCAGCGATTGGTTCAACGCAGGTATGGGAACATAGGATCCAGCAGGTGATTGTGGATCTAGACTCTTGGCCCGTGGAGCTGCACATTTTCAAGGTGCACCTTTTCACTGGAGTTGGGGCGGGCGGTAAGAATGCGCAGCTGCTTGCGAGAGTTGGCACGATTGCGCATAGCTTGGATAGGCCAGTGATCATCGCAGGTGATTGGAACATTCCGTCAGGCGAGTTGGAGGCATCCAACTTCCCGACCCTAAGCTCCACTGTGGTCCGAGCCCCCAAGGCAGTCACGTGCCGTGGCGGAGCTGGCAGCACCGTGATTGATTACTTTGCGATGAACAATGCAGCCAGCCGGGCCTACTCTGACGTCCGCGCAGACATGCTGTGGCCCAAGCGTCCTCACCGTCCAGTGGTGTTGTATTTGAAAGGCACGGCAGTGAGCATGAGGAAGCTAGTGTATGCTGCAGTTCCATCGCTTGGCAAAAAGACAATGGTCGGGCCACAACCAGCCCCGCCCTGCTGGAGAGTCGCGCGAGCAGTTGCCGATGCAGCGCAGCGTGCCTGCTGCGATCCTGCAGTAGGTGCACTCACTGGTTGGTGCCAGGTGTCGAGAGCATGGGGCCTCGTCGCCCCGCCTGCAGCCGCGCATATCGGCCTCGCTGCGGGCAGCTCCACGACGAACTACGGTGCTTTCGGCAAGCCTCTGCAAGCAAGATGGGCCACGCTTGAGCAAACGATGAAGGGCCCTGCAAATACGAAGATTGGGGCAGATGGCTAGCGATGGCTGAAGCATGCCATTCAGCACATTGCCCAGATGCAGCGTGCAGTGGCCACGGATAACAGCATGATTTTGAGGGTTGCCGAGGAGGTGGCTGCAATGGCTGCTGCGGGGTATCCTGGGCAGGGCCTCGATGCGAGGCTTGACCAGGCTGTTGAAGAAGCGCGTTCCTTTCTGGATGTAGCCATTGACCCTGACATCTGCGAAAGTTTCCTTCTCCGCATCGCTGGCGACCTGGAGCTTGCGGAGAGAGATGAATCTCGGCACGCTGCGCAGGAGTGGAAGGACTGGTGCGCCACTGCGACGGCAGGGGGGGCACGAATTTTGCACTGGGCCACGAAGTGCAAGGCGGAGTCTGTTGCGACTGTGGCCCCTGCCGAGCGTGACTTGCCGGCGCGTCCGCATGACGCGCTGGCACATGAGGTCGAGGCGCACCGCCGCCTGTGGCAGAGTGCGAAGGGCCCTGCTGAGGCCTGGATTCCTGACAGGAGCTACCTCGAGCCGACGAAGGTTGATGACCTACGACGAGTTGCACGATCTTTCCCTGAGATGACGTCGGCATCAGTTGATGGCCTGCATCCCCGTCGTTTTGGTATGTTGGACGATGATGCGTTGGAGATCGTCTCCACATTGTCCACGTGTTCCGAAGCTTTGGGTCTGCTCCCGCGACAGCTCACGTGGGTAGTCACGCTTATGATACCGAAAGGGGAAGCTGAAGGTCACAGATTGATTGTGCGATATGCTGGAGTATATCGCATGTGGCAACGGGCGCGACGTGGAGCTCTGGATGCCTTGCAGGCGGCGCTGGACAGGCCGCACTGGGGCGCAGGCCGAGGGCGCAGCGTGCTTGACTGCGCCTGGATCCTGGCAGTTGAATCAGAGGCCGATGTAGCAACTGCGCGCCACGGTGTCACGATCATTGCAG